CCAAACGCCTTGCACTACGGCGAACCCCGGTTACTTCGGGTAACACTAAACTCGACGGACAAGACTGAGGCCGTTCTGCTGTCAGCGAATCGTCTCCGCAACTACTCAAGTGGAGTGCGCATACTACCCGAAATCCCGTGGAAAGAACGTTCAGGGGATCCCGCTAACAAAGATAGGTACAGAAAAAGTCGAGATAAGAAAACAGTGATTGCTCACGGTGTTCCTGAGCTTACTGACTCCTCTTCCGACGATGCCCAGATGCACGAGCGCTAGCAATGGCACTACATCCGGGAGGTTCTTTCTCTCAAAAATGTGGTGGTCACCTCGTTGACAAGCATCCCCATATCACCAAACTATAAAAGATGCGGTCCCAGGCACTTAAAACTTGTGTTACAGTCAGAACAAATGGCACAAACCCTACTAGAGAACTGGATTAAATCCCGTTGCAGATTGCCAACGGAAATGCGTCTGAAAGCAGCAAGAACACCAACACCTTTTAATGACAATTCAGTAGAGGCACAACTCTTAGTGAAAACGCCAGCTGCAGGACCCGACTCGGGGACGGTTTCAAGAGTAGCCATACTATCCGGAGGGGCACAGCAGAGCACGAGCAAACACCAGGATTCGGAGCATCTGATAACTGCTTATATATCAAATACTTCTCTAGAGTATGCAACCCATCCAAAAAACGATTAGTCGCCGACCCTTTAATGGTCAGCGTAAACTCATTTGCTTCATCCATCCATCCAGTCGCCGGCCACTCACTGGTCGGCAAAACCTCACGTATGAGTTGTACAACTTCTGAAACATTGATTAAATCTGAGAAACTTTCATGTATGTACAATAACGCCCAAGGGCTCCTCAGTAAAATTAACGAACTTCGACTACGTCAGGTTGCGAATGCTTGGGACCTAATTTCTATTACCGAAACTTGGTTACATCAAGAGGTGACTGATGCTGAGGTTGAGATAGCCGGAATGTCAATCATCCGGAACGACCGCCCCAGCAGAGGAGTTGAGGTCCTACTCTACTACCACAGCGATCTACAATGTACAATAGTTGAGGACCTGGAAACACACGTTACCGACCCACTCTGGTGCCATCTCCGACTGAGACACAACGACACATGTCTCATAGCTATCGTTTACCGCCCCCCAACATCCACTCCGGAAATGGATTCCTGATTGATCCGTGGCCTCAACAGAGTAACACGCACTAGGTACAGTCACATTCTCATCTCCGGGGACTTCAATCTACACAATCTGGAGGTTTCGGCATCGCCCAGTGGGCAGTTCAAAGCAGACTTGCAGGAACTGATCGCTAATATTTCTTTGTACAGTCATGTCACTACGCCCACTAGATTCAGGACAGCAAACAAACCGTCCATATTGGACCTTGTGATCACGAATGAAGAGCTCATGATTGACAAGTTATTGATGGATAGTCCATTAGGTCTCAGTGACCATGTAGTAATAACTTTTGACTATGTTTGTAATGCAGAGTTTCCATCTGAACACTCGGAACTAATTCATACCACCACACGCGACCACGTATTGAAAGAACTCGCCGACACAGCTGCTTGGAAATTCTCAAACAAAAGTCCCCTTGACAACGTTTGGGCAGAGTTCATTAATAAACTCAGCGACATCGTCAACAAAGCATCAGAGACCAAACCCCTTCGTCCCGCGAAAATGCCTTCAATTATAAGGAGTAGGACTCGAAAATACCTGGCGATAAGGGATGCACATAGCTTGCCTACAACATTAACCTCGACTCAGAGACTTGGGGAAATTTCCTGACCCATCGCAACCATTGCACTGCACTTGTCCGTGAGGACAAAGTAACTTATCAACAGTGCCAAGCCAAAAAGTTCATGGCAAACAACAAACTGCTATATAAGCATGACAATAAGCTTCTTAAACTGAAGCATGGAATACCCCCACTATTCACGACAGGCGGTAGAGTACAAAGCGCCGAAGAAGCAGCTAATGCCCTGCGGCTGCAATACGCCCCAATTTTTGAACTCCCAACATCTACCTGTCCCATAATATCAAGCTCATTACCGACACCTTAGTTTACAAATGTTATTTTAAACCCATCAATTGTGCCAAGGAAGTTACTCTCACTGCGTGAACATAGTTCTCCGGGAGCAGACAACATCCGCCCGAAGGCACTGAAGGCTACGGCCACCAAGCTAGCTGAATCACTGTCACAGTTCTTTCAAAGGTGCTTTGATGAACAACAAGTCCCCACTATGTGGAAGTGTGGCATTATCACTCCTATTTTTAAAGGCGGTAGCCGTTCCGATCCTGCAAACTATCGACCAGTGACTCTCCTCCCTGTGCTCCCGAAGGTGATGGAAGCAGTCGTCGCTGAGGCTTTAATGGACTACCTGGAAAAATGCAACATTTTGGTACCGGAACAGCATGGCTTCCGTCAACACCGATCATGCACCACCAACCTACTGATTGCACGAGGTAGTTGGACGCAAGTGGCCGAGGATGGGCTCGGAGTCGACGTCGTCTATCTGGACTTATCTAAATCTTTCGACCGCCTTGATCACCGCATGCTACTTCAAAGACTGCAAAGTTACGGAATCGGAGATTGACAACTTTCTTTACCAATGAAAGCTTCAAGTACGTGTTAGGGTATCACTGTCTGACCCAATTGAGGTGGAAGGTGGTGTCCCAAAAGGCTCAGTGCTGGGACCGCGTTTATTCCTGGTGTTTATCAACGACCTGGCAAGAGTCATCTCCTCAAACTTCCTGGTTTTCGCCTATGACGTCAAGATATCGCGGACGATTAGTAACAAGGCAGATCACGATCTGCTCCAACATGACCTAGATTGCATGTACGGATGGTCAAAGAGGAACAAGCTTCAATTGAACATGGCTATTTGCAAAGTGATGCATCTGCGTCACCAGCCGGTGAGCGCTTACAAAATTAGAGACCACACCTTGGCGAAGGTTTCTCAGGAGCGTGACCTGGGTGTACTGGTACAGGAAGATATCGGGTGTGCAAAACAAGCAGAGAAGGCGACGAGAACCGGAAATCAACACTTCGGCCTCCTTCGCAGAGCCTTCGGTCGGTTTGAATCATCAATATTTCCCCAAATGATTAACGTCTACATGCGACCTCACGTGGAATATGCTATTCAGGCGTGGCAGCCGTGGCAGAAACAGGATCTCGTTGCTCTCGAGACTCCTCAACGAAGGGCAACCAAGAATGTCAGGCGCCTCTTTCATCTCCCTTATCAGCTTAGACTGAAATCTCTAAGAATCCACAGCAGTCGATATCGGCTTTTGCGGGGGGATCTAATAATGGTTTACCAGATTCTGAAGAACCCAAACCACATTTGCCGTCCGCTGCTGGAATTGAACCACAACACTAAATTAAGAGTTCACCCTCTGAGACTGACAATTCATTATAGCCGGCTTGAATGCCGTAGAAATTTCTGTTCTGTCCGCATGTGCCAGCCTTAAAACGCCCTCCCTAATTATGTCGTCTCTGCTCCCAATCTGGCGATATTTAAAAAACGTGTTGACGATGCATTGTCTCATATTTCATTTTATGACTTGTTAGCCAGGGGCTACAAAACGCAATCAAACGGTGTCTTGCCAAACGCCTAACCAATGGATTGATGGATTTATACGTTTAATACGCGAACATCTCCGCTATTCCACATAAATCTATGGTGAGTCTACCACAAAGCTTTTCACTTTATTATGAAATTGATTTTCGCAATAATTTCCATCCCATGGGACTTATTAAGCGATGCTTTTTTACCCGTAATAAACCATTGTTCCATTGACACCAATAGACTAGTGCATTCATATTGGTCGAACTTTATGCTGTTGGTTTTAATGATATGCGAATCAGTAAACCCTGATGCAGATATGTGACGTTAGTAGCATATTGGACTTACGCTTACTGAGGTGAAAACCAACTGTAGCTTTCGTCGTATCAACCTTTGCATCGTGCGTTATCTCCAAACAAACCCAAAATAGTTGATTAATTTCCAGATCACAATGCCATACTACGGACACCTAATAAAATCTGACACTCGGCCACGTTACCTTTACTATCTGTCGAGCATATGGTGTTGTAACAATGGTAGAGCGGCATTTCTCCACTGATGCTGTCCCATCATCTATCATATCTGTGAAATCCTAAATTAGCTAGTGTCCTTGAAGTGGAAAAAGTGCCCGAACCCAACCACTTATAATGTTATTGGTGCAAGGCGGTAGAGACTAACTGGCTGATAGTCTAATCATCATTTTCGGCAGTGTTTGGCGAAAGGAAAAATCGACTTCTGAGGCATCAATGAACTTCGGTTGAGACTTATTACTGTATCTACTTAATCTCGAAGAGTTTAACCCTTTTACATATTTTCGCAGTTCTGTGATCTTCATGGTAATGGAATCAGTATGATTTCTGCAAGGTTCATGTTTTGAACCTCGGCAATAATTTTAGTTTGGTTATCGCTTGAACTTGACCACACCCACGATCGGCTTAACATGACGGTTAGTGAAGTTTCACGTGCAGTGTCACTGTTTTAGTTTGACCCAGGTAATTAACTAGCTAAAATCCTGGATTACGGTCTTTACGTATCGAAGTGTAGCACAACTTCACCGACATTATTAACACCAGTTCAGTAGCTTGACCTTTGCTCTCTGCAATCTCTTCCGTTCAAAACGTGACGTACGATCACAACTGGCCTGCAGCTGTGTTTGTATCAATCGCTCTACTGAATAGCGAGCACAGTGCTGAGTTCTAGTAAACAGGTCAGAGTCGACTGCTTGACAGTCACTTTGGGACCCACTTACATCACCAGTTAAGCGAATCCAAAGGGACATCTGTGAATAGATAGCTGATAAACAACGACAAAACGAGGATGAATAACTTAGGCAAACAAGGATAATGATAAACGTGTGCAACGTGAATGCTAGGCCCTTTGCTACCTAAAGATTAATGTTTGTGAGCAATATGTTGTCACTCACCTGAATCATCTGTGGCAAGGTGTATGCCTTTTTCATCCACTTGAGCGCTGATGAATAGTCACCGGCTGTGTCATATGCGGTTCCTAGCATTTGACAAGCTTTTCCCAGCTCAGCCCACTGCCCGTGCCTTTCGCAGGAGTTTGCAAACTTCAGTAGATATTGGATACTCTCGTCTATTTTATTTAACCTATCGAAGGAAAATCACACAGCTGTTGTAAAATGACTGAAATCACCGATAGAATATTTCCGTTTTTCACACTTCCTCGTATCCGGGACATTTAACAACTTATCTCCGAACCTTATACATTAGCTCGCGAACAGGCCAGACAGTTACTCATCTGAAAATCACTGATCGAACCCCACGGATGCTGAACCCACAAATCAAAATACAAACGATTAACTACAAAAATCCTTCATGCTTTCTTCGCTATCGGTGGTGAGATATGCGATAATAGATAAACATATTCAATTTTAGGTAGTGTATATACAATAGCGGTACAATAGAGGAGGTGTTTCCTCACCTCCAGTTTACATGTATAATGATGATGATGAGTGTATGTGAGACGTATAGGTTTGGTCCCCGTCGCCCGTAAGCTTCTGCTGACCATCATCCTTCTCAAGCTATTCCCAATGCGTCATCCGATACACCACGAAGAACAGGCTGATTTCCGGCCTGGTAGCGGCTGCATCGATCAAATTGTCACACTACGCCAAAATCTAGAACTCCGCCATGTATATCAAAAGCCAACGATTGACGTCTTCCTGGATATCCGTGATACCCCCGATTCTGTCGATAGGACTGCATTGTGGCACTATCCGTTTAGAAATGGTGTCCCCGATAACTTGGTTTCCCTACTGCCTGTTATGTACACTCTGACCTCGGGTAGAGTTAGGGCTTATGGAAAACCTTTGTCTTTCTTTTTATCACTAGTTGGATTCGACAAAGATGCCCTATCGCCCCATTCCTCTTCAATATTTCCAGTGAGGATTTCCTTAAAAATGCTCTGGAAGACTTGTTAAATGCTGGCATAGAGCTCCTCCAAGGTAGTCGAGTAGTTGATCTAGACTACGCTGATGATATTGTCTTGGTGCGCTCGACGTCGATAGAGTACAGCCCATCGGAGCTTGTCGCTTCCGCACTTGCCGCTCCTTCTCTGCATGCACGACGGCTTTCTCTTAAACCTCGGCTACTGCCTACGTGTTTAGATCGCGCCATGCGCGCCGATCAACCGCCTTCGATTCCCATGACCTGCAATTAAGAATACAACTTGAGCGACTCATTTTTATCATGTCCTGGTATGGTAACTTCGGTTTACCCACGTGCCATTTCCCTGCACTCAATTGGTCATAAAACATCAGTTTCGGTATCCGGGTCGTATCCATACGGCGAATATGGCCGAGACACCTCAGGTGCCTCCGGAGAAGTATGCAGCCCACTGGATAAATTCCACTTAGGCACAACATCTATGTGTCTGAAACTCGATCACTCATGCCGATGCGCATAATACGACGCAGACACTGCTGATGGAATCGCTCCAGATGTCTAACCTATGTCCCATAAAGCGCCTAGCTTTCGCTGCCGTATAGAAAAACGGACAACACCATAGACTTATATACCAGCAGGTTCGTCCCCACAGTGAGTTGTTGGTTGTTTCACCTACGGCATTCCAATTTGCCAAAAGCAGCAGCCGTCTTCCACACGCGGTTGCGCAGTTCGCAAGTCATCTGTTAGTCGGTTATTACGTTACCAAGGTAGCAAAATCTTGAAGTGGTTTCCAACACTACTTTGTCAATCTGGATTTCGGGCAGGCGCACGGAGTCCATTCTCGTTGATGACTGAAAAAGACAAACAGTCTCGCTTGTGTTGATGGTGAGTCCAGCTTTGGACGCTGTCGAAGCCAAAGCACTAGTCATGGGCTGCAACCCATCTGCGCTGTGTGCAAACACTGCACAGTCGTCAGCAAACAGCAACCTACGGATAGTAGTCTCACAGACTAGGGTTCTCTCACCGAAAGGACGGATGTTCAGCAAAGCACCATCAATGCGGTGCACCACACGAAGATACTAAGCACAAACCGCATCAAAAACATAAAACATAATTGCATGAAGATAGATGTTAAACAGAGCAGGAGCTAAGACTCAACCTTGCTTCACACCAGGGACAACTGTAAAGTTTCCTAGGTCTGTCCACTCATCTGCACCCTCGCCCGCATACCATTGTGCTGACATTTAATTAAACTCAAAAACTTACTCGGACAACCAAACTTACCCAACACCAGCCACAGTGCCTCACGATTTACCGCATCAAATGTCTTGGTGAAATCAACAAACGGCACGTACAACGGCTGATGTCCTTCTCTACACTACTCCTGCAATTGACGAGATGCAAACATCATCAGGATGGTGCTGCGACCCTAACGGAATCCACATTGCTCTTCCGCCACGTTCGGTTCCACAACCATATGGTTGGCAGCATCCGGTTTCGGATTCCCCTGTCACTGTGGCCAACCACAGGACGCCTACGCCTGCACAGAGACCATGGGTGGTTTGCGCTGCACCACCCACAGCTCCAACCACACACCCCATATCCAGTGTAAACCCGAAGCAACAAGACTGGGAGGCATGTGGATGGGAGCCATGTTTCATCAACGGAGCCGGCCCACACTCCTTCACTGGCAAACACAAGCACACTGTATTTGGGGAATCAAGCGCACACAAGGCGGTGGCTGGACCGCAGATCGCTCCAAACTGAGTGCATGGAACCACTTCGAGCGTAGCACGGCCACAAGGACTGTACACCCCGTCCCCTCCAGCAACGACCAACTGTCTCCTGGAGCCAGTATGGACGAGGTAGTGGGTAATAGACAGGTAGACATCTTGTCAACATGCACATCAAGCGCAACCACACCTGCGATGTCGAACAACAGTCAATCATTCGAAATGCCGATATCGAATAAAGTAAACGCATATGACGACATAAATACTCGCCAAATAAGCATATGGAAGCAATTGGTTAAATGTGAATACGAGATAAGTACAAAATGTCCGAAGTCATTTAAAAAATACCACGCGATAAAATTATGCAAGTTTACCACAATTTGCATGAGCGACGTGTGTAAGTTGGGAAAAGATTATTAAGTAGGCAGAACAAAAATAAAATAAAATGTAAGGAATTTTATCCATATTAAAAAGGCCTAGTTTCAGTGTAAGTTGGTTTAGCCCAACTGCGGTGAAGAAGCATCACGAATGCGACATCAGCCTCAGCAAGGGGCATATATATATATATATATATATATATATATATATATGCTATAGAACCTCCGAAGTTGACCACATCCATAGCTTGACAGTTTCACAAAGACGGCCGTTTTTAATGCTTGGTTCGTCACTATGTAGTCCTCATTGAACCAGGCGTTTGTATGTTGACCACCTTGGTACGTTGTATTTCGACCACTTATACCATAGCATTCATTATTCAACCTTTGTAAATTGACCATGCGAAGGTTTACTGTGCAATGTTCGCCGAACGATCGCTTGTTCTAGTATTAATGTGTATGTTGCGAGATTTGTAATGTATGAGTTTCTCCCGATCCACAATTAACGTACGTTACGGGTTGCAGATGTTTGACGATACATTCTGTTCTCTGTCTTTGTATGCGCGAATGTGGTTTGTTCCGGCCCCTAGTGTTCATGTGCATTGATGTTTACCTCGTACAACGTGTCTTAGTAGATCCTGGTTCACAAATTGACCTTGACTGTTCTTACGTGAAAGCCTTCTCTCCTAAGCACACATCACGCCTGCCCTTCAGAACATGTGCCCACGCATTGCGCACATCGCAATCAGGAGTTTGGGTACCTGTCTAAAAGTCGAGTAACCTGTTCAACACTGGTTCATTACATGTATGTATATGAACTGTAGTGCAGTGCGCGAGGAGTTGTAAGTAAAACAAAGAGTCGATAGACCCCGTTTTGGAGTAATACCGCTCTAACCAAAGCGTCCGATTATCGTTTTGTGGTCTCCACTTATTTTCCTGAAAATGCATCTTGACCTATGGAATGTCGCTCACCTTTGGAATAGTTTTGCCAGGGATTCACAAGCTTTGACAAGGTTTTGATAATCTCCCCGTGCACAAGACTTATCGAAGAAATCACGGAAGACCTGCGGCGAGAATGACGGAAAGACAACTTAACACACCACTGAGTGAATTGGTGGGACTTTGTTGTTGATGCATCGTATCTGGGGACACTTATTCAACTGGAAACTTCACGGTAGGTGTTAGCACACAGTTCCTATTCGTCTACAAGAAAGCCCCATGTCGGCCCTACAGGAGTGCACAAAATATTACTGTAATGGGTCTTTTCGCTCTATAATGAAAGGAGAAACCCATGGGGCCGCGAGGCATTTTCCGATGATCTACTTACAAAATGTTTTCGGTAAATTACGCTACTATTAAACTCATCAGTAGTTCGAGACAAGCAACGCGCCGGGACTCCTCACTACACATTTGTCGTAACCTGACAATTGGTAAAACGATGCAGCATTGTTTTTGGCCTTCAGTAGCAAGTAAAGTACAGTATGTTTGTAAGGCAAACGAACACCTGGAAATTAGCCATACACAGTGGTGGCTTAAATCACCTAAGTTTCATCACTGTTTATCTGAACAGGACAAGTGTGACCACCATGTGCGCTTCCGCCGTAAACCGATTACTTGTTCCTGTGTAGTCACTGGCCACCTGGATGTCAAAATACCCGATACCTATAACTAATGCATTTGGCGACATCTATACCGTATATGCCATGATACAAGTTTCATTAAAATTGCTCAACTTTCACGTTCTTGCTACAAAGATGACTTTCTCAATGAAGTTCAAATCCGTACTGTATTTGTACAAACGGCTTTCGAAGAAATTAGCCCGAACCTAGCTGTCCTTTTCTATTGCGGAGTTTTGTACGGTAATATATGCGTGAGAATAACCTTACGCTAGTTTCGTTATTACTCATATCAGGTGTTTAGTAAGGTTTTGTTAAAATTTAATGGGGATTTTCGTAAAACAAAAAAGGGACATCCTAGTCCTGACAGAACAACATGTTTAATGTTTGAAAATTTGACACTTGCTGATAAGAGCAAGATCATGTTTTAAATGGTCGTAGTCTGACCTGGTGTGTTACGGTTCTTCCGACCTAAGATTGTGCATAAAAGTAAACCGGGTAGATTTGCAGGAATCCCAGTTATTCAAGAGTATCAAAACTTAGGAGTGTGAATAAAATTGATGTTTAGTTTGAAAAGCACGGTAAGAAGACCAAAGCTGGTAGATGCATGCACTTCGTATTGTCTCCACAGTACCATTAACAATACCCAGTATGCAAGAGGTGCAAAATGAATGACGGACGTTCCACCCCTGTGTCCACGGCGGTCTTAAACTGACAAATAATTGCTTTTGAACACACAGGTCTGACTTCATCCGGCTTATCGTGACGGCGTCAACGAAAAAGAGGAGGCAGGGATAAGGGTGACGTAAGATAAGTGTGCACGCTGATCCAAGCTCTATTCGATGACGCGTAGTCAATACGATTTTATTTATTGAGGAAGCTGGCGATCTGCTCAAGCATGGAAGTTCAGTGGGACAGGGATGCTGGTGTAGTGTTGCACGGAAACTGTCGTGGCGCGCTGCTTCACTTTGAACTGGTGTTTACGCTGCGCTTTCATTTGCCTTGCAGGAACCTGGTCGTGTGCTTTAACGGAAGAAGTGCAAGCAGAAGAAGATTGACTTTTGCTACGTGTTGCTTAATAAATCTCCAGTTCCAATCTCCGGAGTTCTCCCAAGCTTGTATACTACAATATTGGCGACCCTGCCGAGGCACGTTCATCAGGAATCCTGTATCACTGGTCTAATGAAGATAATGCCGCAGACAAGCAATAAAGCCGATGACGAAACTAATTTTGACGCTAATGATCCGACGACAAAGCTCGCCGCTTCGCTCGATATGTTATCACGGACTTTGCAGAAAATGTCGACTTCATCAACTTCTTCAACCAGCATGCCATCTATCCCGCCGCCAGAACATTTTACCCTGGGGATGCTGTACCCCAGATGGGAAAAGCAAGTCCAGTTTTATCTGCGTCATTTCCCATCCAACCAACAGGCAGCTGTGCTCGCCGGTCTGCTCTCGGGAGAGGCCTTTGATATTTTGGCAGACAGTAAACTTTTGGAGAAAGAAGTTACAAGCGAGACTTTTTCCTCCATGCGCCGATTATTAGTCCGCCTCGGTCTACCTGCGCCCCTACGCAGGGCATTCCATGCACGTTACCAATATCCGGCGGAAACCATACGCACATACGTTCGCGAACTGCAGAGGATGGCCGATATCGCATACGAGAACGAAACGCCAGATGAACGTGAAAAGCTGGTCTTAGGACAACTCCTAGAGGGCGTTCAAACGCCGTCTATTAAAAGGGAGTTCCTGCGATACCCTCCACGCCGTTTGGACGAAGCATTAGAAACAAGTGACCATTTGGAAGACATAGATGCAGCCATGGGTACGCCTACATCTGGCTGTTTTGCGGTAAGAGGAAACACACGACATAGAGGCGTCCGACCTGAAAGAATGACGGGAAATCCCGGCCGTTTTCAGAGATATCCTGCCCCACGACGACCGGCACAATCAGGTTTTCGTTGGCCCCGCAGACAAACGTCATACCGCGGATCGTCTCGCTACAGGAACACGCCAGGTGAGCATACCGTGACATCATTTGTGATACCATCTCTTACTTGCAACTCGATTGTGACGTCGCTAACACTAGAATTATCGATAGCTGGGATTTGCTTACTGGGTCTAGTGGATACTGGCGCAGCTAGAAGCCTAATCAGGGCCAGCGTGAGTAGGAGCTTCTTAAACTGTGTTAGGAAACCTTGTAACGCTCGCCATACCGCGGCCAACAGGTTGCCACTAGTTGTTCGGAATTCCATCGTTGCCCCCGTTGTTGTAGCCTGCACAAGGTTTAACCATGAATTTATCGTTGTTGATCGGATACCGTTCGATGTTATTATCGGAATAGATTTGTTGAGGAGGTTAAAATGCCGACTTGACCTGGAGAAGTCCCAACAAATCACTGATTCGTGCGCCTTACTACTGAGAGCAAGCAGCAACAGCAATTTTGAGGATTTTACGTTATATGAGTGCAGTGTCAAAGAGCAACAATGTGTAGACGATTTTATTCGGTAGATTGGGCTTTCAGCTGACACATTAACACAGGCACGATTAGCGCAGGTCATACAAAATTATTCGGATGCCTTTGCATGGAAATCTGGCGACTTGGGACGGACCGGCCTCGTGAAACATTCTATTGACACTGGTGTGGCTAGACCGATTAAAGTGCCCCCGAGACGTATTCCAATCCACTGGCAGGGTGAGATACAGAAGCTGATAGATGAGATGTTAGAGAAGAACGTTATCCAACCCTCCAACTCCCCGTGGGCATCTCCTGTTGTCCTTGTAAAGAAAAAGGACGGTGGCTTCCTACTATGCGCCGATTACCGAAGATTGAACGAGGCTACTCGAAAGGACGCCTACCCACTCCCAAGGATCGACGATCTGTTCAACGCACTTGGCGGATCTGTGTATTTTAGCACAGTTGACTTGGCTTCCGGGTATTGGCAGGTGGAAGTAGAAGAGAGCGATCGAGCGAAAACCGCCTTTGTCGTACCCTCTGGGTTGTACGAGTTTCAGACCATGCCATTTGGCTTATCTAACGCTCCAGCTACCTTCCAACGCCTTATGCAAAAAGCATTAGCTGACCTGATCCCGCGTAAATGCCTCGTGTATTTGGATGATGTCATCGTACATGGAAAGACGGAAGATGAACACTTGGACAATTTGGCTAGTGTTTTGGAATGCTTGTTGAGGGTGGGATTAAAGCTTAAGCCCTCAAAGTGTCATCTCTTGAAAAGGGAAGTGGCGTACTTAGGGCACATAATATCTGGAGATGGTATTCGAACGGACCCGGTAAAGGCTGAACAGGTCAGGTCGTGGCCAACGCTAACCAATACGGAGGAGTTACGTAGTTTTCTCGGGTTAGCATCATATTATCGGCGATTTATTCGAAACTTCTCATCCATTGCAGCCTCATTACACTCATTGCTAGAGAAGGGTCGCATGTTCGAATGGTCGAAGCAGTGCGCAGAAGCTTTCAATCACCTACGTGAATCTCTCTGTACGGCCCCTTTGCTAATATTTCCCGATTTGTCCCCGTCTGCTGGCCAGTTTATCTTGGATACTGATGCGAGTGATAAGGCGATTGGAGCGGTGTTATCACAACTGGGATCGGATGGTGTCGAACGAGTCGTGGCATATTGTGGTCGCAGTCTCAGCCCGAGGGAGCGAAATTACTGCACGACTAGGAAGGAGATGCTGGCATTGGTATATTTCATCAAACAAAACCGACATTATCTATTAGGTCAAAAGTTTCTGGTCCGCACAGACCACCAGTCACTTCGGTGGCTGCAGAATTTTAAAGACCCCGAAGGCCAAATCGCGCGTTGGCAAGAGCAATTGCAGGAATATGAATTTGAGTGCAGACATCGCCCCGGTAAGCAACACGCTAACGCTGATGCATTGTCACAAATTCCCCCTTGTAACCATGGGGAGTTCCCTTCGTGTAATACGCAACACGTAGCAATCGTCAATCTGCAAGGAGCAGAGTATGGTCGGTGGCAAACGGCACAGGCGAACGATCCCGATACCGCACTGATCTACGAGAGGCGTCTTAATGGCGGCGATAAACCAACGAGTAAAGAGATGGAAGGGAAAAGTTACGAAGCTCGTTGCCTTTGGTCCATGTGGGATTACCTGACCACCGAAGAAGGAGTTTTAGTTTTCAATTTCGGACCGACGTACACGAGAAGAATCATCGTCCCGCATTCTATGGTTAGGGAAGTACTGAGCGATTTACACAAGGAAATGGGACATGCAGGGATCAATAAAATGGACGAAGCGGTTCGACGACGTTTCCGGTGGCCCCATCAACGGAGAGATGTGATCAACTACTGTCAAGCGTGCGAAGAATGCGGTGCCTTTAAAACCCTCGTATCGTTCCTCGTGCACCCTTGCAGCCCATGGTGGCCGGCTATCCTAACGAGATAGTAGGAGTGGATCTCATAGGCCCTTTACCTGAGACGCCAAGAGGTAATCGCTTTAGTTTGGTCATGATCGATTACTTTACTAAATGGTGCGAGGCTATACCGATAAGACAGGCGGATAGGTCCACTGTGGCAACAGCTTTGGTAAATCATTGGGTCTGCCACTGGGGTGCACCAGGGCAGCTACACTCGGATAAGGGATCATGCTTTGAGAGCTCACTGGTAATTGGAGTTTGTCGGTTACTTGGGATAGACAAAACTCGAACCACAGCGTATCATCCTCAAGGAAATGGGCAAGTGGAAAGAACAAATCGTTCTCTTAAATCGTTGCTGAAGGTCTTCGCGGACAGGAATATCAATGAGTGGGACAACGTGTTGCCCAGATGCCTACTTGCATACAGGAGCACAGTACATTCATCGACGGGACAGACACCATTCCTTAGGTGGACGGGAAGAGAGGCACGATTATCTTCGGATCTATGTCTACCGATGACGCGACAGCTACAGTCGTCGGTTATGGAATATGTTACCAAGTTGTTAGACTACCTTTGGCAGTCTCATCAGTCAGCACGAGTGCATTTAGGGAATGCACACCGGCGTCAGAAAAAATATTACGACAAGCAGGTATTTGGCGTACCCCTGAAAGTTGGTGATTTAGTTTGGTTACACCAACCTCAAGCATCAGGAGTGCCGGCAAAGTTTCACATAGAGTGGACGGGTAATATACGGTAGAACGAGTGCTCTCTGAGGCCACCTGCATGATAAAGGATCGTAACAACCCTAATAGTCAACCTATAGTTGTCCATTTCAATCGCCTCAAACCCTGTAGACGAGAAGCTGAGTCAATTGAGTCAGAGAGGGCAGATTCACCACCAGTGGTTGCTCGTGAACTTGAATTACCGGCTGAGGGGGGCTACGGGGTAGCACCGGGGACGGCGCTCGAAGGAGGGAGGGTGTAGTGTAGGGTGGCACGGAAACTGTCGTGGCGCGCTGCTTCACTTTGAGCTGGTGTTTACGCTGCGCTTTCATTTGCCTTGCAGGAACCTGGTCGTGTGCTTTAACGGAAGAAGTGCAAGCAGAAGAAGATTGACTTTTGCTACGTGTTGCTTAATAAATCTCCAGTTCCAATCTCCGGAGTTCTCCCAAGCTTGTATACTACACTGGTGTAGTGTACTTGAAAACACACCATTTAATTATAGGTAGAAACACGTCACATAAACTCCCCCTACTTCACTCTTTAAGTATTTCGCGACATTGAATTTTACCGTTGTTTTAACCTTCAAAACATCCACTTGTTTTATTGACGGCACTTCCGTTTTTAAAAACTGATTTTGATGAATACCTTGTTGCACCGTTTCTCGTTTCTGTTGATTCGTTTCCTACTTGTGTAGCCTGCATACTACACGTTGGGTACAGTTGCGTACACTTTCTATACCGTCCCGTATTCGACACGTCTCTTACGTCTCACTGAGTGCTGAATAGTATCCCAGGCGCCACCCAACACTGGTCAATTTCACCTTGAACGAACCTTAGCACATGTTCCTTTATTCGGGAAGTCAAAGACCGATTGGTTCTGCCTATGTAACTGGCTCTGTATTTGCACCCGAATTGGTATTTGCAGTGTGGACATAGGGTTCCAAGTTCCGGCATGCATTTTGCACCTCATGCTTATTTGGTCACACTCATAGTTAGGTATATAGTTGTGTACCGGTTAGTGGTTAATGGTACCGTTGAGACAATGCGAAATGCATGCATCTACCAGCTTTGGTCTTCTTACCGTATTTTGAAAATTTCTAAAGGGAACTAACTGCTTTAGATTTATCAAAAGACGTGCAGTTGTTACCCAACTGATAATTCGCACGTTTTACTAACTGTTTAAGGATCAAGATGGAAAATTACTCACAGCGTATGCGTCATCTAGGTTATTTCCTGCCTCCAGCAGTTGGCCCAGTTTATGCCAAATAGCAGCTTCGATAGTCCAGACACCACCTATACATGAAATGAGACAACATCAGTAGTAAGCGAATTATGGAATAAACTCCTATCGTATGTACATAAACTGGCGCCGCTACATATCTTAGTGCCATTATTCTAGGCGCCCCGAATCAAGTGTTGGCGCACTCCTAAATGCCAGGCCAATCACAAGCAATAACTGAGGTTTGAAAACAAACTTGCAAACCGTAGAATCGTGCATTTACACAGCTATATATGTCTGCAGGTAACAGGTTTGCCTCACACGCCGCCCTCATTCTATGAAGCGAATGCTGATTAAAGTTGATGTCGGATAACTTTGCATTATTTACTGGTTCATAAGCACAGGAAATATGCTAAACCCATTTGTCTGCAAATTTTCCCAACATTTTTAACTTCGATCTGTCCCGAGCTTATGTGAATATGAGGGGGATGAAACTCTATTTATGAGGCAATTTCGTACTAGGGAAGGATCAGCAGTTACTACTTCCGATTAAGCACACCTGAAGGCTATGGAGAACGTCGCGCGACATTTTTGTCGTGTTGAGCAAGGTCCGCAATGTAAGTTACCTGAACCCATTGGTAAGCTTTTAAATGTGATACTTTTTCCAACTAGACACTTAGACCTTTGGGTCCTGATTTGTCTTTGAGACAGTTTGAGTACAAGAGCAGTGGTGTCAGCCATCCTTCCCCCTGCGATAAAAGCAGGATAACAACAAAAGGGGCGAAAGGACGTCGTTTGAAATTTACTCTGCCCAGTACAGCACTTAAGACGTTTTTACCGTCATACTGGTGCACAACTAAGCGCAGCTGTAGCTAATTTCCTTAAACGATAGTAGGATAGCTTCCCGTCACATAATTATTTGTTGTCAGCTTCAGTTAGGCATCTGATGCTGTTTCCCCTTGGATTCATCACATCTTTCGATGGCACTTGAAGGAAACATTCTTATCGTGTATTACTATTATTATTATTATTATCCACAGTGGATATTTTTGCAAAACATTTGCTCACTCAAGGAAGCAAGCAGCTCTCACATACACCAATTTACTAACAAACAATTTGCTTCATCTACGGTCCCAGTGATTGAACTGATCAAGGTTCCATTCGGTGCGAATCACACCGCGAGTGATCCAGAATGTCCCTTCCAATTCATTAGCTGCTTTGTGCTTACCGCCAACAGCTCTCCGACAGTGTGCGTGGCAAACAGCCTAATTTTTCACTATCGCAGTGCACAGTCTCGAAGACAAGTAACCAAATCAAAGATAAAGTGCATGATTGTTCCAATGAATCAAATCGCATCGAAATAGACCTCTTCAAGATAATATTTAAGATGATTCCTGTTCGCTTCGTTAACTCTGTTAACGTACACCTCAAAACTAATTAACGGTGTGGTCCAGCGAGCATAGGACTAATATGTAAGGTGGCAAATTCGATAAGTGGATGGTCAGCAATCGTCCAAATGCATATAGCAGCTACTTGGAGCAGCCTACATAGGTAAGCTAGAAGTATCCAGTTCTCTTTTATATTCTAACACACAAACATCCAGCAGAACTGATGAGAAGTGGCTTGGAACAGTGTGAGACACCTCGCCATTGATGTCCATTTATAAAACTGAATTCCATGACGACAAGATGATCGAAGGGGCAGTTAAAAGCACGATATCTATGCTAACGGTCACATCCATCAGGTAACTCAATGAAATTCTGTCCGCCTTGTAGCAGTAGTATCCGTCTTCATGGGTTTAACGTACTAGGAATAAGTGAGAGAATAAAACCTTAAGCTACCTAGGAAAGGACGTAGATAATAATTAAAATCTGCTTTGGTAACTTATGGCCGATCCCGGGAGCGGAAAATGTAGACTGCCTTATATGGCTGTTAGGTTACTTGTCCATGGTAGCAGGGTTATCAATCTGTCCACTGGCTCACGTAGGTATCCTAAATGGTAGTTGGTTTACTTCAACCACCCAAGTCTGAGCTACTTGGTGAGCGACCTCCCGCGATGACCGAAGGTTGCTGTTCTCATATTTCGAATTCCCTGCATTGTTTGTTGACATTTGTACCTCAAAACCATTTGGGCAGCGTGATTGAATTGAACAATATATTGCCTGAGAAGTTGCGACAAAACTTCCGCATATCAGATGCAGGCAAGTTTTCCTATTTCAGCTGACCCAAAGATGCGAACAAAAATAAATAAGTAATTCTGACAATAAAGTGAGCAGAAAAAACAGTCATTCCAATAATTTTGATTTCTCTAGCGGCCAAAAGAAACTGTTGTCTTACATGTGTTCGCTCTCAAAGGGATTGAGTACACCATAGCTGGTTTCGACAAAGTACAGGGCTGACCGAAAACTCTACTTCGCTGGGAGGTGTAAGGAAAACACCTCACTCATACTTTAGAGACACAGACGCTCTACGTAGACTTTACTTGCATACTAGTCACTTCTATAAGACCAGTAACTCTTTTGCGATGAAAATTTTAGCAGCGTCGCATGTAACCGATTTCATCACTTGCCCATTTATTCCCACTTATTTACTAAACTTTCTCCAATCGTTCATTCGACATCGATCCGAAGAATCCCTGGTAAGTCAGGTCAAAGCAAGCCAAGTCAATATAGGATTTTAGATGCCCGAGTGGGTGCATTTTCAGCATATTACTATAACTACCGCGGATAGGTTAAAATAGTAACGTTAAAAATGCCGATTGTATGGATGGAAATGGCATGGGGTAGACTGTTGTCACTCGAATAGACGGCCACGCACTGGTAACACAACCCTAGCACCAACCGTAGAAATCTGGATAGAAACTGGACAATACTCACCTTTGTTAACAAAAATCGATTTCGCATGAATTTAAAATTAAATAAACTTACATTATGATTCAAATCATATTACGCATTCAAAATTGTCCTATTCCACAAACAGCCACGCTGTTTGCTGCATCATGGAAGCCATTTGATCTGCAAGTATTCCGTTTTATTTTCATGATCTCTTGTCGCATAATATCGGTCGGTGTAGCCAGTCATACTCCCATTGCACATCAAACTAACTTGTTCCTTTTCTCCCCCTTTTCAGGACTGATAGCCGAGATGAAACATGAAGAGGAAGAATGAATAGTTAAGAACCGAGGAGAATGCGCTCGGACAGATGATTGCTCGCGAGGGACCGGATGTTTTCCGCGGGAATTGACCTCGACTGCGACCCGAGCTCGTTGCGCTCCCCCACTTGTGCTGACGCTTTCCGAGTCCACACTCTTGTTGCTGTCTTCTTAAATAAAACCAATCTGAGTTCCTTCGTGTTCTTACTAGACGGTTGTGTTTAAGTACCCACTGCCGCCAAGGAAGAGTTGGTTTTGCATTTCAACTCTTCCAGGTCTATTGCAACCAACCTCATGCATCGGACGCCGACGGTCTTGGAATCCTCAACCGAGTGCACACCACAGTCGCTCAGCCATTTCTGTTATTTACTCGACTAAATATTTAGCACTGGCCCAGGTATGTAGCTATTCATAGGTAAATGTATTCATCGTTATTTATAAGAGGGAACGTAGCCGAAATACGGCTATATTCCCATCTCATAGTGCAAATCATTGTGTTGCAAAACAATTCGCAACTATATACACGTCCGACTGTGAGTGAGATACTCCTGGTGTATGTGTAAATCATGCAGTAAAAAGCCTATGGGTAACAATGTTAACAGTTGAAGTTATGTATTGAGGTGCCATTTTGAAGTACACCTTGTGTGGTTGGATTGCGATGCGCAATGTGGACGGTGATTCGCCGTGAATTAGAGGTTGGTCAGTTCGATCACTAGGACCATAGCTGAAGCAAATGAAAATTAGGTGTTGTACATGGGGTTTCCGGGCGAACAATACCTACTTTCCATTTGACCTTATTTACTTCTCATCACGTAGCTAACAAATTGTTCGACGTAAACCGAATGGAATGTGATCCAAAGGATGATAAAGAGCTGATCATTTGTCTGTGTCATTTGATTAGTGACTCACAGGTATCCGCCTCTCTTTTGTGCAAAGTTCATCCGCTTGTGGATGCTATTCCTGCCGAAACGTTGCAGGACATCAATGCAAACTCCCAGACGTTGCCGTCAACGCTTGGTCTCTCCCGACACTTACGATCACCCCGAGCGGTTAAAGGAATTACAGCGCGAATGCATGGGACTTAAGTTGTCAAGGGATGATGTCTTCGGCGCGCAACTTTATATAGATGGATTTCGCACCTTCAGTGCTTCGAAAATGCGGCCTTCAAAGTTGGCCGTGCTCTGCGATTCCTAGCTGTGATGTTTATCAACACACACGTTCTCACATCTTACGTTTTGCTCTATCGGTTCTTGTTTTAATTCTTCATTCGTCCCGCGGTGCCAAGCAACTCACACGATAACTTAAAATCGCTACTTTTTCTGCGCTCATAACTCGAGCATTTTCGAACGGTTGTGTTATCAGAAACAAACCGAAACCAATTCATAAGTGTGACAATTCCGTTAGAAACATCTTTCTGGATGGAGAGTTGCTCTTCGAAATAAAAAGATTGAGAGATCTGAGCGTCCCAATATTGCTTAGCACCAACATTCGCTCGCTCATAGGAAAATTAAAGGAAATAACAAAGATTGTTTTCTCAAGTTTCGCAGCTTGGAATGATTATGTTGCAAGAAATCTGGTTCCATGAAGAAGTGAATGATGCAGTCGTATCCGATGGAGAATTTATTTGTCGTCGGGTTGAGCGCCCATGAACATGTCGAAACCGAGGTGGGGGAGTACTTATTTACATCAATCCGTTTTGGTGTATTGCAAGAAAACATCTTCTTTTGCTTCTCCTCACAGTTTATCAATGGTTTAGTTATACAATATAAGCCGAGGTGATTGGATAGGTACGGCTCAGTATTGTTGGCTAACATCCACATATCTCCCAACTGTCCCAAACCTGAAGCTGAGAATTTCTATGATGAATTTACTGCAGATATTATAAAACACATCGATCATTCTCTATGCATCTTCGGCGGAGAT